GGCCGACTATATGATACCCTTCACCACTATGGGTATATTAAACAGGACTATTAACATGAAATTGGATGAAATAAAATATGTGATACTTATCTAAATGTGAATCTACCTAGATCTATCCATAAAGTATGCAAATCGACTTCAAACAAATATAAATAGGTCATCCGTTGGGCTATGTCTGTACTTCTCCAAAACGCAACTACGTAATTCTATGCTCAATTTTGTAAGTTGTGCATAATTTGATGTCAATCTGTCTAACTGAGGAGTTTGATGCCCAATTTACTTGAAATCGGGCGAAAATATATATGGAAGCTCTGTCCAAATATTAAGCGATTTCAAACAAACTTTTCACAGGTTATGTTATACTAATTTAATCCTATCAGCCAATTGTTTCCTTGGTGCGTCAATTACTTAAAATCAATCTATAATAAAAGGGAGCTATATCTAACTCTGAACCGATTTTCACGAAACAAGGCAGACATCACTCTAGGCTCAATTCAGTACGTTATGTCAAATTTCGTGCAAATCGAAAGATATATAAGGACTTTGCTGCACCATTTACATGAAATCGGACGAAAGTATATATGAGAGCTATATAGAAATCTGGACCAATTTTCTCGAAACTTGGCAGACATCACTCTAGGCTCAATTCAGTACGTTATGCCAAATTTCGTGCACATCGAAGGATATATATGGACTTTGGTGCACCATTTGTATGTAATCGGACGAAACTATACATGGGAGCTATATCTAAATCTGGACCGATTTTTACGAAACTTGGCAGACATCATTCTAGGCTCAATTCAGTACGTTACGCCAAATTTCGTGCAAATCGAAAGATATATAGGGACTTTGGGGCACCATTTACATGAAATCGGACGAAACTATATATGGAAGCTATATCTAAATCAGGACCGATTTTCTCGAAACTTGGCAGACATTACTCTAGACTTCATTCAGTACGATATGCCACATTTCGTGCAAATCGAAAGATATAAAGGGACTTTGGGGGCACCATTTACATGAAATCGGACCAAACTATATATGGGAGTTATATTTAACTCTGAACCGATTTTCTCAAAACTTGGCAGACATCACTCAAGGCTCAATTCAGTACGTTATGCCAAATTTCGTGCAAATCGAAGGATATATAGGGACTTTGGTGCACCATTTACATGAAATCGGACGAAATTATATATGGGAGCTATATCTAAATCTGGACCGATTTTCACGAAACTTGGCAGACATCACTCTAGGCTCAATTCAGTACGTTATGCCAAATTTCGTGCAAATCGAAGGATATATAGGGACTTTGGTGCACCATTTACATGAAATCGGACGAAATTATATATGGGAGCTATATCTAAATCTGGACCGATTTTCACGAAACTTGGCAGACATCATTCTAGACCTAATTGATTAGGCTGTACCAAATTTCGTGCAAATCGAAAGATATATAGGGACCGTTTACATTAAATCGGTTAAATATATATATATATATATGGGAGCTATATCTAAATCTGAACCGATTTTTCCCAATTTCAATAGGGTTCGTCCTTGGGCCGAATAAGTGACCTATGCCAAATTTCATCCAAATCGGATTATAAATGCGACCTGTACTTTGTTTACAATTTAACACCAACAGACGGACAGACGGACATGCATAAATCGACTAAGAAAGTGATTCCATGCATATTCTCAAAAGGAACCATGTATCTATCTCGTTTTCTTTTGCATGTTATAAACATATGCACAAAGACATAATACCCTGTACCACAGTGTGGTGAAGGGTATAAATATTGCAATTTCCAACATGTTTTAAGGGTCCTGACTGAAACAGAATCTTGGCTTAGAATCTTAGCTACGTCCTGTAAGCTTACAATGGTCAACGTTTCCATCCCTCCAATCAAAATACCAAATTGGAGCCTATTCGATTAAAAAACGTTCCTACTCCCCATTCTCACCAAAAAAACCGAAAGAGGAGGGGAGGTGGGTGTAGTGTTTTTTGAGGTTTACTCTCAAAAGTGTTCCAATATATATACTTTTTAGTAGGAATATTTCCTACCCAGTGAGTGCTTAAATGCGTGATTTCACGCCTAAATATAGTCTTAAAGAAATCCACGCCTAAAAATATTCTTAAAGGAACTCACGCCTAAATATATTCTTAAAGAATATTAAAATTATTCGTAGAGAAAGCCATGCCTAAAATGTTCGCATAGCAATATTCTGAAAAATATAACGGTATATATCCAAACCGTCTAAAATTGTGCATCATTTATTCCGCGCTTAAAAATGTGCTTAACTTATTAAAGGCCTAAAAATATGAATTATTTATTCCGCGCCTAAACTAATGCTTAATTTATTCTACTACTATAAATAGATAATATGAATAATTTATTCCACACCTGAAACATTCTGAATTATATCCGCACCTTAAAATATTCTTAAAAAAATCATTTTTAAAAATATTCGCCTAAAACTATTCTTTAAAAAAACACTTTTACAGAAATGCACGCCTAAGGAAACCATGTCTTTAATTCATCTCTACGTATTTTCTGAAAAAATACGTAGAGATTCATAATTATATCCAGGCTTAAAAAATGCAAAATATTCTAAATTAAATCTACGCCTAAAAATATTCTGAATTTTATAATCATACTAAAAATGTCGCCTTAAAAATATAAATAAACCCGTGAGCGGAGCAGTATAGTCGGACGGGGCCGACCATACGATACCCTACACAACTTCCATGAAAATCTAACTTTCTGTGGTTCTATATTCTGAGATTGGGCAATATTTCGCGATATTTGCACACTTTTGACTGGCTAGAGGTCAGCAAATGTTACTAATAATCAGTACAGCGCCTCTAATTACTTGTCCAGATTCTCTTCACCGTGGATTGTGTTGTGATGTTCGGTTTCGACTCGAAAAGTACAAATAATTAAGTTTTCGGTCCACTTCATCCGAAAAATTATTAAATTATTATCATCACCTAACATTTTAGGCGTTGTCCTTGACCATAACTGGAACCTCATGGAACATTTCAAAATTATCAGCGCTATATTTCCGTATGAATACGTAAGCACCTGTAAATATTTAAGTGTAACTCCCACATCCGAGTACATACAACAATAAAATTGGTATCAATTTAAGGGTCAACCACTCCTCTTCGATACACTATCAACTTCTCGGGTCTATGTCCTTTAGTGGTAAATATATACGCTATAGGATACAAATTTGGTAATTTTTCACACAAAAGTTAGGGTCAATTTGACCCGCTAAATATTGACAGATCTTTATCAAAACAGGCATGCTTATTCTTTGACCCGATCCCCTTCTTCTCCATGCAAAAATTCGCGGTGTTTGGGGTCTTGATTGTCCAGAACCCATCCTATATGCAAAATTTCGTGAAGATTGGTCCATAACTGTGGCTTGTATAGTGTTTACAAATTATAATGGACGGACGGACACACATGTCTAGATCGACTCAACTAGTCGAGATATGACGATCGGTATACTTCTCAGCGTTACAAACTTTTGGGGCTGCACAAAGCTATAATACCCTGACAACATAGTTGTGTAGGGTATACAAATTATTCAATATATTTTTTAGAATTTTTAATAATGATATTTAAAACATATAATTGTTGGTAATCCTTTTATTTCGGTGTTCCAAAAATAACATCGTTCCCTTATTTCCTGTCAACAAAATTTCTGGTTCGCAAACTTATTTCCATAATTTCCTGCAATCTTGAGTCATGAGCACACTTTTGATGAATGTTCTGAAAGAATTTTGTTGAATATCAAAATTTTTATCGACAATCCGCACGTACATAGCTTACAAAAAACCAATAAATCTCATTTGGCATACCGCCATTCAAAGCAAAACAACAACAAAAAACAAAGCCCAAACAAAAAGAGGCTCAAAGATTTTAGGTTCTTTTGTGATTTTTTGTTGTTGCAAAAAATCAATTCACACATCGGAGATACCGATACAAAGACGAAAGTGAGAATACAAGAGAGGACTCTATCTCTCAAAAAAACTGCAGATGTATCTGGTAGATACATTATCCAAATGGAAATGTAAACAAAAATGAGATACACTGGAAGTGAACCAATTGGAAAATAGCAGTTGTTTTTTGATTAAGCAGGAGGGGGTGAGTATATGAGAGTGAACATATGTATATTGAGAAGAGCGAATTATATTTGTTTACATTTTTCTCACCCTCAATTGGGCCAACACACACACACATATCTAGAGCCGGAGTATCACTTGTAGGAGAGCGAGAGAATAAGCCATGAGGCCGGTTTCATTGTTCAATGGACGTTCAAATGAGAAGAGTGCCTTCCAACCACTTGTTGAGCACATGCAACAGATACCCAACTTCCAATTGTATCTGTTGTGGCTTTCGTATCCATGGAATACGGCGTCGTTGTTGTTGTTGGCTCATGGCCGAACTGTAAAGTATCTCTGAGTTGAAAACACTGATCAGTCACAATTGGACTTTTCATGGACGTACAACTGTTGGCGCGCACGTTTTATTTTTTTCTTCATTCGAATATTCAATATTTATGCTGTTTTGAAAATAAAAACGCGTTTAGCGGCATTTTCTCCGTGCTTTTTGTAAACAAACGGAATTAAATTACAATAAACGAATAACATAAATAAACAAGATAAAGTGCTAAAAAGGGAGTTTCATTAAATCAAATTCAAATTTGTTTATTTGTAAACCTATGTTGAAATGAAATCAAGTTCAAGTGGAAACAAAATAATCCCACATTAAAACAAAAAGATTAAACCCAAACAACGAAAAGTTGCTGAGAGAAAAAAAAAAATTGTGCTAAAAATTAATTCATACATTAGCTGAGCTGTGAGAACACAAAAGCACACAAAGTTTTCAATTTGCAATTAATTAATTACAGTTCGTGGGTTTGTGTGTGTGCGTATGCATGTGTTCTAGATCGACAACGGATATTACAAGCGATCATTGCGATCAAAATTACCTCAACATTCAAGAACGCTGAATAAGTTCAACTACCAATGATGTTCATTAAAGTATGAGCTCTATTTTATTGTCATTGCCACAACGTTACAAACGACAATTACAAGCAATGACTCTAGGCGTTATTATCATTTACACCACTTTGGTGTTCTACCAAAGTTCATATGGATATCCAAATATTAATGTAAGTATAATAAATGCATATTCATTTGATTAAAATTTACTAATTAAAAAGTAATCAGGAGGAGAGTAGTATGAAACAAGTAAAAACGTCGTAAAATTCTGACTTTGATCTTTTAATGGCCTTCAACATGAGATGGACATTGTAAATACCTCATATTGGATTTGACTATGTCAAACATGGAACCTGGTGGATTTTATCCTATGTGAAATGAGGTGCTAAATTGGGCACAGCAAACGTACTGAAATTGGCACAAGACATATATGTGGTGGTTATGTGAAAACGTGGACCAATGTGAAGTTGTTGTTCGAAGAAATAGTTTCCCCACTACAGTTGGAAAATGCATCATAAACCATGCAACTATTTAATTCGGGGTGAAACTTTTATATGAGGTCTATATAAAACATGGACCAACATGTTATTTGGAGCAGCATTTTATGAGGGCTATATCAAAATGTTTCAATGGGAAATTGCAAAAACCGAAAATGACCGGGGACTATATAAGCGTTAAGTTTTACAGAATATTAGAGGACTACAATAAGCGTGGATTTTTAAAGAATATTTTTTATAGGACTATAATAAGCGTGGATTGTTAAATAATATTTTTGGAGGCGTGGATTCTTAAAAAATATTTTTTAGAGGACTATAATAGGCGTGGATTGTTAAAGAATATTTTTTAGAGGACTATAATAGGCATAGATTGTTGAAGAATATTTTTTTAAAGGACTATAATAGTGGTGGATTATTAACGAATATTTTTAGAGGACTATAATAGGCGAGGATTGCTAAAGAATATTTTTAGAGGCGTGGATTGTTAAATAATATTTTTTAGAGGCGTGGATTGTTAAATAATATTTTTTAGAGGACTATAATAGGCGTGGATTGTTAAAGAATATTTTTTAGAGGACTATAATAGGCGTGGATTGTTAAAGAATATTTTTTAGAGGACTATAATAGGCGTGGATTTTTAAAGAATTTTTTTAGAGGACTAGAATAGGCTTGGATTGTTAAAGAATATTTTTTAGAGTACTATAATAAGCGTAAATTTTTAACGAATATTTTTTAGAGGACTATAAAAGGCGTGGATTTATAAATAAAATTTTTAGAGGACTATAATAAGCGTGGATTGTTGAAGAATATTTTTAGAGGACTATAACTATGTGATTGTATAATAAATCTTCTACCTGTAGAGATGATGTCTTTACATTATACCTTTCTGAGGTCGGTAAAAGGTTTTTTGTTTTCAGTGGACTTGTAAAAGGTATTTTGTCTTTAGAAGACTTTTCAAAGGGTATTCTATTCAGTACATTTAGGAGAAGTCTCTTTTCATAGATTTTCTAAATACCTCAAAAATGTATGTGTATATATTAAATATTGTATTTCAAATGTTAAACATTTATATCAAATACCAACATGTTACTTGACAAACAAAAACAAAACGCATACACACAAAGAAACAACCAAACAGTTTTTACCATTTGTTTGTTGTTTATTTCTTAACAATGTGAAAGCCTAACTAACAGACAGACAAGTCAGACAAGGGAGATTTCAACATCGTCAATGCATCTACCAGCCTTAAAGACTCGTGAGACTGCAGACGATTTTTTTCTTAATTTTATTCATTCAAAATTCATTTGACTAATATGGGAAAGCTAATTTGAATAAAATAAGTTAATAACCAATGGGGATTGTTTTTGGTTTTGATTTTCTTTTCAACGCTATTTTCCATAGAAGCAACCATCATAACATCCGATATCTATGGTATGATACAAACAATTTAAATATTTTATGCTTGACAAATATGTTTTCTTTTCATCATTCATTAGCTGGGTAATTGTGAATATTAAATGTTAATGCATTTATTTCTTTTGATTATAAATTTATTAGTGAATTTGGAATTTGAAAATTGATACGAATATGGGGTATGAGATAAATTAATCGTTTAGTGAAATTTCATATTTGAAAATTAAATTAAAATATAATGGAAATTTGAAAACGATAAAACAATGTTTTACATAAATAACAAAATAACAGTGAATTTTGAAAGGACTGATGGCTAAAATTTATTTTTGTTTTTGCTTTATATATCGTATTTTAGCAACTGTAGTTCGGAATTCTAAGAAAAGGTATTGATTTTTTGGATCCAGATTTTTGCTATTAACGATTTCAGTTTTTTGTGTTAGAGAAAGCTTCATACTATTTTGAGTGAATGAGAATGAGTTGAGTTTCCTATATATATGTATGTATTTATGTTTCTCTTAGTTTGTATTGGATGTATGTGTGTATATTTATGTGATTAATCATAAAAAGCGAACAGAGATACTTTACAATTTGGTTAAGTTTGGTCAGGCCGAATTTTTTATACCATCCCATACCCACCATCAAGTAACGAAAATGGGGCGAGGCCGGAGGACTATATGAGCGTGGATTTTTAAAGTATATTTTTTCGGGGACTTTAACAATCGTGGATTTTCAAAATATATTTTTTAGAGGACTATAATAAGCGTGGCTTTTTAAATAATATTTTTTCGGAGACTTTAATAAGCGTGGAATATTGAAATAATATTTTTTGGAGACTTTAATAAGTGTGGATTTTTAAGTAATTATTTACAATAAGTGTGGATTTCAAAAAATTAATTTTTTGAGGACTATAAAAAGCGTGGATTTTAAAAATTATTTTTTTTGGAAAACTATAAATAGCGTGGATTTTTAAAGACTATTTTTTTCCATGACTATAATAAGCGTGGATTTTTAAAGAATATTTTTCTAGAGGACTAAAATAAGCGAGGGTGACTATTTTTTCTATGACTATAATAAGCGTTTTTTATAATACTACAATAAGCGTGGGTGTTTCAAGAATATTTTTTATAATACTACAATAAGCGTCGATTTTTAAAGAATATTTTTCTAGAGGACTAAAATAAGCGTGGGTGTTTTAAGAATATTTTTTATAAGACTACAATAAGCGTCGATTTTTATTAAAGAATATTTTTTAATATATTAAAGGGTATTATAGCTTTGTGCAGCCCAAAAAGTTTGTAACGCCGCGAAATATTGGTCATAGACCCACCTTTAAGTATACCGATCGTCATATCTCAACTAGCTGAGTCGATCTAGACATGTGTGTCCGTCCGTCCGTCTGTCCAGTATAATTTGTAAACACGATACAGGCCACAGTTATGGAGCAATCTTCACGAAATTTTGCATATAGGATGGGTTCTGTCCAATGAAGACCCCTATTGTCTTTGGTAAAGATCGGATAATATTTAGGGGATGAAATGGACCAAATCCATAATTTTTGTCGATTTTTCTGGTTGCTCTAGAGGCTGCAATTATGTTCCGAACATCGTGAAATTTTACATGGAGAAGGGGATCAGGCCAAAGAATAAGCATGTCTGGTTTGATAAAGATCGGTCAATATTTAGCGGGTCAAATGGACTCTGACTTTTGTGCGAAAAATTACAAAAATTCCATTCTATGGAGCATATATGTGTACTCCTGAAGGACATAGATACGAGAATTTAATAGTATATACAAGATGATTGGTTGACTCTTAAATTGATACCAATTATATTGTCGTATGTATTCGGATGTGGGAGTTACACTTAAGTATTTAGAGGTGCTTACGTAATCAGATATTATTCAGTAACCCATTAGCAAACTAGAGGGCGGAAATATAGCGCTGATCGCTTTGAAATTTTCCATGAGGATCCAGTTATGTTCAAGGACAATGCCTATAACTTTCGGTGATGATCACATTATAATTATGGGATGAAGTGGACCGAATACTTATTTTTTTTGTGTTTTTTCGAGTCGATGCCAATAATAATCCGAATATCACAACACAACCCACGGCGAAGGGAATCTGGACAATTAATTAGAAGAGCTGTACTGAATATTAGTAATATTCGTAAAATATGTGAGTGTAAGGAAGAGGTGCTGTTGACCTCCAAACGGCCTAGAGGGAGCAAATATCACAAAATATTGCCCAGGCTCGGAATAAACATCCGTAGAAAGTTAGAGTTCGTGGTAGTTGTGTAGGGTATCGTATGGTCGGCCCCGTCCGTATATACTACTCCGCTCACTGGTTAAAAAATATATTTTTTCGGGGACTATAGTAAGTTGAAATTAAAATATTATTGTCATAGATTCAGTGTGGCATTTGTTTGTAGGGATGTGTGTGTGTTTACTTTTTTAGGTAAGCCAGCTTGATCCCTTTCTTGTTGTTTTAAATAAAAACAACAAGATTTTTATTTTTAAAGTGGGTTATATTCACATTGATTACTTTCGGGAAAGGCAGAGAAGACTATAGTTTTGGATTTCGCCACAAATCCTCATCAGTTCTCTTAGTTTTTTTTTGCTTGGGATATTGTCCCAGGGAGTCATGTATCACTCCACTAAACAAAACACCCTTCTTCCCCAATTTTTTTACATCCACAACGTCAAGCCTAAGTACTTTTAGAGAACGCTCTGTTTGAGAATTCTCTAAAAGTCTCAGCAAATTTTGTGGCGGAACATGTAACCATGTACCATAAATCCACTGTCATGCGTCTCTACTTTGCAGAGAATCAACATAACACCATTCAAATGACCGGGCTGTCGTCTATTTTTAGATTCAGTGTGTCATTTGTTTGCAGGGATTTTTGGCCGATTTCATGAAAACTATGCACCAATGACCCTTGCCTCTCCGATTTTGTTCCTTTTTTTTATTTTTTTGTATTGTGTGCATTATATATTGTTGTATATTTTGTGTTTTGTACTAATAAAAAATGTCGAGTTAATTATAAAACTATTAACTTGAAAACTCTTTAACTGTCTTAATATTATTGTACCCTGATCCGATCAAATAATCATAAATCAATCAAATAATTAGTCGTTTATACCGTTAAAACTATAAATGTTTGTAATAAATGTCGCACAGATCAGTTGGTGTGGCTATGTGTGTGCGTGCGTTTGTTTGCTTCTTTATGTTAGATATTTAAATTCTTGTTGCCCACCAGTCA